CAAGAAAAGTCAGAGGCCAAGATGTCCACCACAAAACACCGCCCAGAAATGGAGTTCACAATTAAAAACCAGCCAGGAACAGACGTGAATCGAAATCATGACCTGGCAGAAAGACATGAAAGTCGTAGTGAGTTCCGGATAAGAGGAGGCAAAGGCACTGATGAACCCTGTCCTGTCCAAATTCAACCTTAAGATCCAAAGAGCACAGAGCCGAGCTTGGAGATCAAGTCTGTGTGGTGAGTTTGACAATGAATACTAGATACTTATTTGCGTTTGCTGTGGATCTGGCCACCATTTGGACTGTGTCGATCCCCCTCTGGATGCAGTGCCGTTCAATGAATGGTTCTGCCCTGATTGCTATCTGTTAAACTAGATACACAGAACATTAGGGGGATGCCTCACGACAGCAATGTGAACAATTCCTCACATAGGCGTATCACATCCTAAGAAGTGTGTGATTGCCTACAGCAAAGATAGAGGCCAATCATGCTAGATGAGGGGTAGGCCAAGTGACTAGATGAGTGCTACAACAGATGGCACTCGAGAAAAGTCAGAGGCCAAGATGTCCACCACAGAACGCCGGCCAAAAATGGAGTTCACAATAAAAACCAGCCAGGAACAGACGTGAATTGAAATCATGACCTGGCAGAAAGACATGAAAGTTGTAGTGAGATCTGGATAAGAGGAGGCAAAGGCACGGATCAACGCTTTCCTGTCCAAATTCAACTTGAGGATCCAAGGAACACAGAGGCGAGCTTGGAGACTGTTGGAACATATCAGCCGATGCATACAGGATAAATCCGCCACAGTCCAATGGTTCAATGACCTGGATCCCCGTTTCATCGCTAATCTGCAGCCATAGCAGGGGAGAACTGGAGAGACCAAGAGTAAGCCACACTGAGGTCACTAAACAGACCCTTGCAACTATTGCACACTTGATATACATTTTGTTGTAACAAAGCTGGATGTAATACCATTTCCAAGGGAAACAAAACTGCTTCCCGAATTGTATTTCATAGTTTTTTCTTCTTATTAAATTATTAATTGTACACAATACGACTGTCTTTTTTCTCACAGCATAATGGCTGGTGACACTGTAGTTAGTGAACTGTAACTACTGCTAAATCACACATGTTGTCGTGTTTCACCTTTTGTCATTGTTCGTGGGTAGGTGTTTTTTTTTTCCATTTTTTTTCCCCCTCCATATATTTGGACTCTCAGCTGTTGACTAAGAAAGGATTCTAAAGAGGACAGTATAATGTCATAGTACAGGTACCAAATCTCTTTATCTGGCATACATAAACCCAGGACAACCAGATATCTGGTTATTTTTTTTTTTAAACTTGTGACTTGGTTGCAATGATGGACTATGAAGAGTGCTAGCTTCTGGAATATGATGTCAGGCAATCCAGTATTTCACAGATGTTTTGGAGGAACAATGACAAGGCAAAGATGAAGAAGCATTACATTCCTAATGACTTACTGATGTGTCAGTACCTTAATATTCCTCTATGTGGCCCTTTGCCTGGCTGATTGAGTCATCAACCTGTTTGTTCGCTTACACCACCAAGGAATGTAAATTCTTGTGAGACATCTCACAATACCATCTACTATTCGTTGGTAGTGAAGTGAACAACCACTACACCTAATCCACTCCAAGTCAATGGTGCTCTTAATGGCAGCTGTGATATGCTGCAACATGAATTGAATTCACTGATATATTGGGTTTCTGGACTTTATCCATCATCCTAGAACGATGGATAAAGTCCAGAAACCCAATATATCAGTGTGTTATACACCATCGTCAGAATCCTATAGTAACTACATGAATTGAATTGCCTGCCATCATAGATTCCATTAGAGTTACAGCATACCAACAGTCTCCACACCAACGTCTCTGAAATATATGAAGACATTGGCTGATAGCAGCACTCCAGATGTCACGCATGTCTTGCGTGCATCACAGCTGACACCACGAAGCACCTGTCTGGCAATGGAACCACTGACATAGGCTACTCAGAACACTTCCTTGTCACCAGCATGTAGTGCAGCAACCATGTCCTTCTGTACTTGATGAGTAACATGGAAACTCAGGAACTTCATCAGGGGTTTCCTTGACACGATTTGTGGACTGATCTGGTGAAGAAGCATTAGGTGCCCTGAACAATGAATGTAGGCTACAGTGTTACACACAACAGTAGCACCATCATCCTCACAACTAGTTCCACACGGACCTCTGACAGCAAGTGCTTCGATGAGGGTAGTGTTCCGGGCTTCTACAAACTGTCCCACAGTTGGATTATTGTTCAAACCAGACTACGAACGAATAGCTTCAAATGTGTTCACAAGGTGATCATCAAATAGCTGTTGCCAGGTATTCACTACAGCACCCCACTGAAAGAACATTAAAGAGGAAATTAGTGGGCTTCCTTATATGATGGACTTCTTCAGATTTGAAAATAACACACTTTCCTTGAAAGGGACTGCCATTATAAAGATTTTGTATATTTCATTAAATTATTCCTCATAGCAGTCGCACCACCTTATTCTCTTATAGATCATATTACTGATAGTGTGATCTGTTTTTCAAACATTTTTAATTACCCTAAAAACATCTGACATATCCTACATAACTTGTATAGTGATAAGTTTTTTTTGTAGCATCCTGTTGCACTCTTCCATTTTATTATAAATCTTATTTTACAGTCTTATGTGGAACCATTTATTAACTTTAAGTTTAAAATTTTAAACTTCAAAGTTGCACATAAGACAGTAAAATAAGATTTATAAAAAAAATTGTATATTGATGTACAGTTTCATAATTATTGAACGATGACAATAACAGTTTCTTCATCACAACTTTGTTCTTGGGACAATCACTTAAAAATTAGTTCTCGTTGTTCTTGCTAGCCACTTCTCTCATAACAGAACGTAATTCATAGTATAGAGTGCAGCTGTCCTTACCTGTGGCCAATACAGTGTTTTGGCTTGCACTCTGTTGAAGTGTACTCTTTCAGCTGTAGTGAAATCACTTTCCAGGAAATGTTTGCTGAACAAATATTTATTGTACAGCATTCTAGCAGAATCGGCAATGAAGTATAATCCAACATTTCCTGCCCATACCGCAGGCTGTAAAAGTAGAACAAATAGTCTCAAAACCTATAAATAATTCTTCAGTAAACATAACAAACTTGGTACACATTCAAAATTTTGGGTTATGTTGAATAAATGGAGGACAGACATCACTAAACTTAATTTATTAACTGGAATAAGCAACACAGTAATTACACCATGAATTAAAACAGACATACCGTGCTGGAACCCTTGGTAAGCTGAAGAATTTGATGCATTGCTTGCTGAATGATAAGCACCCAGCAGCAGCACATGTTTTCGTTTTCATGTCTATACTGCAAGAAGCAATACAAAAATTATAACACCATCACGGTACTCTTAGAACTCCTTCACATTCAACAGTCAATCTTTGGGATAAACCAAAAGTTGCAGAACATATTGTCACGTGTTGGTTGTATACGCGACAAATATTTCACGCCTTATTGGATATAGCGAATTTTATTTCACATTCGCTCTTACAATCACATAACTTACAAGCTGAAATTTACTGCCATTGGCAGTATCACAAATACGGTACTGCAATTAACTGGTGATTGACTCATAACACGTAACTGTACATCGTAACTCGTAAATTGAGAAATCCTAACTAACTGCTGAATAGTCTTCGCTGCTTCTTATTTAGCCTCGTTCCGGACAACATAGAAAACAGCCACGTAACAGGCAAAACTGTTGTCTGGGGCCGTGTTGCTAGCAACGCTGTCGGGAGTTGTTTACGGCTGCTTAGCAACAGCAGCCTCCCTTGGTCGCGTAACCACTGGCGGGGTAGGGGAAAGAGTGTTGACTCGCATGGTACCCTAACAAGGACGGCTCTCTAATGGTCTTACGTCACCGCCTGCGGGGGGAGGGGAAAGATACGTCATAATCGTTCTGAAAGCTGCAGCAACGATACTGATCGCACAGTTCCTAGACCTGCGATGACAGGAAAAAGTAGGAAATGGGATACCCGAAGAGAAGGCTCTGAGAGCAACACCGACAGTACAGACAGCCTCTTTGAGAGAGACCGGAAGCCCAGAAAGATACGTCATAATCGTTCTGAAAGCAGCAGCAGCGATTCTGATAGCCCAGTTCCTATAACTTCGACCAATCCACTCTTGTCAGCTTGGAAGGAAACAAATTTGTATGAGCAATGAGCGAAGTTTAGAATATACAAAGGAAATCGCTTCGAAAGTTTGGCATTCGATTTGGATTGCATATTTCCACTTTTGTATGATCACAGAGCTCAAACTGAGTTTCGCGAGAAATGTATTATATTTATACTGTGACTTGACTCCTAAAACCTTGCACATCGGAATTACAGAAGCGTTGCAGAGGCGTCCGTTGTTAGGAAACAGGTTGTTAATACAAGTTTCCATAGAGTAAACGTAACGAAAATAGTTAATATAAAACGGCCGTTGGTAAGAAACCGCTCCGGAAAATAGCATACTTCCATGGAAACACGATAATATAGAACTCTTAGACATAGTGTAATTTATACATACATACATAGATACATAATTTCCCAGATCCATTGTCCGGGAACCGGACTGGATATTGAATTCGTCAGTTTATATGACTTGACTTTCACATTGACAGTGTAATATACGCAGGATGTGCCGGGATGTCAGAAGCAGAACCGTCGAATAGGTATTTTAAGATAAGCAGTAACCGAAATCACAGCAACTTTGAACAAGAACGGAAGCGAATTAAGAAGCGTCATAATAATTCTGAAAGCAGCAGCAGTGATTCTGATCGCCCAGTTCCTAGACTTGACATGACGGGAAAAAAGGAAGAAATCGGCTACCCGAACAGAACGCTCTGAGAGCAATAGCGACAGTACAGACAGCCTCTTTCAACGAGAGCGGAAGCGCAGAAAGATACGTCATATTCGTTCTGAAAGCAGCAGTAGTGATACCGAACGCCCTCGACACTCACCTACTGCAGAAGTACAGCGAACTGTGTGTACTGATGACAAGAGTTACGAATCGCAGCCAGGTCGTGGTGATGAGTATGGCAGTTCTGATGAAGGACAAGAAATCACGGGACATGCGTCAGTTTTGTACTCTTACAATGAGAGATATAAGAATTCTAGTGAGAATTTGCTCAAAACAGAAATGGGGTCAGAAAGAGTTGTTACTCTTTCTGAGAGTGGAGCTCTTCCCACAAACAAGGACCGCGATACTGAAGCGGCACTGTTGTTGTCAACGTCGTCCAGCGCCACAGCTGACAGGTCGGATGGCAATAACAATGAGCATTTAACAGAGAGTCCCATCTGCATCATTTTCATAGAAGAATTCACCACAAAGCGGGTTGGTATTACAGACACTTGTGGACATAAATTCTGCGCTTCCTGTCTCCAAGAATGGTCAACCCATTCCAATACTTGCCCAATTGATTGACTGACGTTTAACTTCATAAAAGTTCAAGACCATCTGAATGGCGAAATGATCAATACTATACCTGTGAAACCAACAGATCAACGATTCCATTTGGAAGATAATGATCTGCTGAACTTCATATTTTGACAAGTGTGTGGTGATTGTGATCGTGAATACCGGATAGTACTTTGTGATGGCTGTGGATCTGGCTACCATATGGACTGTCTCGATCCCCCTCTGGGTGCAGTGCCGTTGGATGAATGGTTCTGCCCCGATTGCTTTTTGTTAAACTAGATTCACAGAATATTAGGGGGATGCCTAGCCACAGCAATGTGAACAATTCCTCACATAGGCTTATCACATCCTAAGAAGTGTGTGAATGTCTGCAGCAAAGATGGAGGCAAATCAGGCTAGATGAGGGGTAGGCCAAGTGACTAGATGAGTGCTACAACAGATGGCACTCAAGAAAAGTCAGAGGCCAAGA